TGCTGTGCCAGAGCAGCTGAGAAGACAGAGCTGCACCGCCCACCACGGGGCAAAGTGAGGAGCAGCGAGGGGACATGAAAGTAAAGGCAATTTGTTTTGCTTGTCCAAGTGATTTGCCAGGTTAACCCTCTCCACGGTAAAAGCTCATTTATTTCCTCATCCTTTCACATTACCTTCTGCCATGGATTCTATTTAAGCATCTCTGAAAACAGCAAACTAAAATCTGTAGACAATTTAAGCCAAAAACCCTCTGACTATAGACAGCCCTTTGAAGTTTGTGGAGATGAAGAAAACCAGCCACCACAGAAAAGCAGCTTTTTAATTAAACATCTTTTCTCCTGATTCAAAACAAGTTTAAAGTCCCAGTCTGTGCAACATTAGGAATCCTTAAGAAGGCAATCTAAGGCTACAGCAAGAGGCATTTAAATATGTGTTTATTAAACAGATGTCTATTGTCCCAAGAATAACAGAGCTGATCTCACCTAACCATGCTTTCCCTTCTATTCTGTCTAGCATGCCTCCAACGGCCCCACAGCCAGAGGGMACCAGCATCCCTCTGGAGCAATCCTCTTTCCCCTCTCCACCTGACCTAGGGCTATGGAACAAGCAGCAACAACTCAGCTTTGTGACAGGACTTATCCTGCAGCTGAACAAGCTGTGCAAGGATTGTGTTCTGCATTGTCTGTGGCACAAGCAGAACTTTTAAAGATTGAGTTTACTTCCCAGGCAAAGGGTGTGGCAAGCACTATCATGGGCATGTGCTCATGCACGGAAGGAGGAATCTGGAGCGTGACAGAAGTTAGGACACAGATGCAGCAGAAAAGAAAAAGGCTAATACGGATTATAATGTAAGTGATTATGTTGCCCAAAACTTTATAACCCATTGGAAACATGGCCTTTTGAATTAAAACATGAATTGGTCATAAATTACTTTCAAATTATTTTACTCTGAGATTGTTTTATCTCATGAATGCCTACGGTTAGCAGCCACAGYTATGAGTTACTATTTTTCATCTTTTCTTTCTATTAAGCAGTACTGTTAGCACTACATGACAAGAACTATTAAGGCAGATCTGCTAGACAAATAGCAGGCCACATGTAACATACTCTTTTCATTCCTCACTCAGTCTCAGTTTTTCCAGAAGTGGTCTTCCTTGGCGATTAAGACTAAAGAAAGCAACACTATCACAACAATTATATTGAAAAGACTTTTCCAAAATACAGTAGCATGGTGTCTCCAGGAACCAGTATTCATTTCTTTTATTGGACAAACTTTAATCAGTGGCTTTCTAGCAATTTTCAACAAGAAGCAGTAATAGATTTATTCTCAAAAACATTGATTTAATTTTTCTTCTGCTTTGAAAAGCATTCTTTGCTTGTCACTGAGAACAGAAGGTTGCTCGATTGCTTAGAACTGTACAGCTCAGAGTAAAAATTTGGCTCCAGTTTCCCTGAAGTTGTGTTCAAAACAATTTCAGTTTCTATCCCACCTCTGCAGGTTTCCAACCCTCTTCTCCTTCGTGTTGATTTCCCTCTGGAAAAACCCAGTACATCATTCGCAATTTTTCTCATATTCATATATAAAGAGTTTTGTAATTTACTTCAGCCAATTTAGTATCTACAGTAGGTTCTCAATAACTGTAATCCTTCAGGCTTTGCAAGTCTCATTCAATATATTGCAACAATATAGATTTTATTTCTTCTCATATGTCCTGCATAACATTATTCCCTCTTGTAAAGTCCAATAAACTCATTTATTTGGGACCTATTCCTAGAGATAAAGCCCTATCTATTTACCTCTATTAGTATTCATGCCTGCAGGATTTGAACTAACCTGTTTTATATAAATAAATAAATTTTGGTCTGTTTGTTTTCATCATTAATACTGCTTATGCTCTATGGCTTAATAATACTGTGTTTTTTAGCAGCAAAAGGAAAGGGAAAGTAACATACAAAGTGTGATTCACTTCTCTAACATTTGCAGTGAACCAGATGAATCAGAGTAAAAATATTCTGCAAATTTGCAAGAATGAGAAATTTGCAAGCTATGAGTCTTTTCTCTTGGTTTAATTACTCACGCCTATTGTATTTTTGGAGTTGAACATTTTTTAACAACAGAAACTGAACTTCAAATAATTTCAAAATCTCCTTTCCACACRATTTTCCGTGAACTGATATCCATTGTTAAACTGCCACTTAAGTGAGTATTAACAGCAACAAAAAAGAAGAAAAAATAAAGGAAGACAGAAATCAGTGTATAGTGACATTAAAGATCAAGTACTTTTTCAAATTACAAGCCTCCAAATACTTTTTCTCCTTTATGGATGAGGAATGTTTTTTTGAGAAACATTAAGACTTAAACAGAAATCTAGGAGAGGATGAGTGGGCATAGAAGTAATCCCTTACTAAGCACATGTAAGCTCACTAACTTTAAAAGTAGGACTTCTTGAGCCCCACTTCTTCCTTTTCTTTTAATGACACTATGTTTCTTGTAGKTTCAAACCAGAGCACCAAATCACTCTCAAGCATTAAAGAAACTTTAAAGAAAGCACAAAATTTTGGTGTGTAAAAAAAGGTATGCAACATGACCAAGGCAATAGTGAAGTTATTAACTTCAGATTACTGAACATTTGAACAACTCTATGAGTTAGTTCTCTATCTACCAAGTGGCTTCTTTAAAACAATTTTTAAAAAATCCCCGAAGAACATGAAGAAGTTTCTGTCATCGGAATGACTTTGATTAATTTAATCAGTATCAGGAAAGCTGTTAAGATATTTAAATYATTTTAAGATACCAAAGCCCTAGGGTATTCAGGTTCATTTAAAGTGCATTGGTAATAAAGCAGTTTAACGTCACTGAACACTAAATTCCCAAATACTGACATGAAACCCTGCACATATTGCATGCAGTCAAGAAACGTATCCATTTCCCTTTAGAAAGGCYTCAAGCAATAATTCAAGCATAAAGACTACAGACTAAGACAGCAGAGCAAAATTGCTACATTTGTTTTTGATTAGGCTGTCTTCTTCCTCTTTACCTGCAGGGCTTACATGGCACAGATCAMATTTTAAAGACCACCACTTCATTTTAAAGTTAAACAAAAACAAAATTTAAAAACTACATCAGCTTCTGCTGAAATAATAAGTGTGCTGGCAGATTTTGGTTTCAGTGAAAGAGTAATTCGGTTTACACTCCAAGCTTTCAGAACTGTAACACTCCAGAGCTGCCAGAGAGCTCACTGAAATGGCTACCAAAATTGACCATTGTCTGCTGCAAGTCACTTACCTTTTGTGAAAGCCCATATGGATCACAAATAATCTTACCCTGTTTCTGAAAGCTTCCTAACAACTCATGATAAAAACAAAGCTGCAAGGAAAATGACAAATCTTACCCTAGTGACACTAAAAATCAGAGCAACAATTATGTGATGGTTTAAAAATTTCTTGTAGTAGCATATGTTCTTTCTTGACAAAAAGTGTGAGGCAGTTTCATTTTTTTAAGTTCCTTAGGTAAAAAAAAAAAGTTATTTGTCATTTACCAGAAGCCCTGCAGGTGATTTTAAGTTGCTGAATATAAGAGAAGTAATGCTATAATTTCTTGGAGCTTCTTTCAGGAAAAGGTTAGGGAAAGGGGTAGGAGGGAAGTGAGAAAAGCAAATACTCTAGAAGTACTTTCCAGACATTTAGTGCAGAAGAGTTGGCTCTATCCACTGTGGAACCATTTTTCATCCCCAGGCAAAAACAGCTCTCAACAATGCACAGAATTTAGAGAGAGAGAAMAGTTCTATTTTAAGTAAACTTCCTCTAAAAAACTTCCTCTAACCTAAATTTCAAGTGCTTGATTCTAATAGCAATCAACATCACTYGGACACATAAAACAACTTCCTCATAAGGCGAAGACGAAGGGCAGGCACTGATCTCTTCTCTGCGGTGAACAGGGACAGGACCTGATGGAATGGTCTGAATTTGTGTCAGGAGAGGTTTAGGTTGGGTATCAGGAAAAGATWMTTCACCCAGAGGGTGACTGGGCCCTGGAACAGCTCCCCAGGGAAGTGATCACAACACCAGCCTGACAGAGTTCAGGAAGCATTTGGGGGATGCTCTCAGACACACGGTGTAATTATTGSGAATGGCCCTGTGCAGGGCTAGGAGCTGCACTCCATGATCCTTGTGGGTCCCTTCCAATTCAGTGTATTATGTTGCCGTGTGAAATTTCTATCTTCCAACAAATTTACTGAAATCTGTACTCCCTCTCATCAAGTGCAACAAATTCCTGAAACTATTAGYCATTATGCACTTTAGGAATACACTTAATTCAAATTTCAGTGAATTAAAAATTATTTTTCCTCAAATATGCAAAGTCCCTGTTTTTAAATATTCAGTTTGCTCCACAATCAAAACCAATCACTCTTGAGTGACCATAACAGTCACAGAGCTCAGTACATAGTCACAACAACAGCACCTGGTACCTAGGAGATGCTCTTGGGGCAGGGAGAGCCTGAGCCTTCTCAAGCATCCTGCTACCTCTGCATGGCTCCCCAGAGGAGAAGCTGCAGTCCACAGCCTGTGGCTAGCTCGTAATGTCATTCCTGCCCTGTGAGAATTCCACCACATAAATGAGGTCAAATTGCTTTTTCTTTAATGAAATCAAGCCTAAAGGGACCATCCGTGCACTTCAGCTCCTTGAGGAAACAAGATATACGTGATCCCATGGATGGATTCTCGTAAGTCAGCACAACAAATATCAAATGAAAATCCCAAGATAGCACAGCCTGAAAATAACCCCTTTGCCACAGCTATCAGCAGCCCATAGATGCAGAACCTCAAAATGGCTCACCTCACAGTCAGGGAACCCACTGGGAGAGACTTGTGGAAATTCCAGGTGGAGCTTACACCTCCCCCAGAGAGTTCTACCACAAGGCACACACCAGGGTGTGCACCACATCAGCTCCACAAGTGCTAAATCTCCAGGTGACATTTACACACACCCCAAAACTCACCTGTCAGAGCGCCTCCAAGGCTTCCTCTTCTGAGCTGTCTTCCATCTTCACTCAACTGCCTCTTAAATTTAGGAGACTTTCCAAGGCCAGAAGACACTTCAGGACTGCTGGATTTTCGGAAAGGCATAGGTGGGGGTGATAAAATGTGATCAAGCTGAAAAGAAACAGAAAAAAATACATAAGTAAATTGTTTAAATGCTTATCTTCATTGAAAGAAAAACCTAAGTTACCTTCAACTAAAGATTAYGACAGTATTTTGGCAAAAATTGTATATAAATATCTTAAGGTATTTTCTAACTCATAAGAAAAGATCTTCATGTGTCAGATTTGTGTCTGGCTGAGCAAGAAAGGCATCCTCCTCTTGCACAGTTCACACCACTTCCAACCACTATCACAGAAGGGGCGTTTTTTTACAGAGGTCTGCTCYCAAATTACAAGGGATCATACTTAAAAGCCTACTCAACCTTCCATAAATCAGTCGTTCTGCAGCTATGAACCACCAGATCTGGAAACCTATTCCAGGTAGTGACCTGCTCCTCAAACGTTTTTGTTTGACAATTTTTCCCCACACCCAAGTCAGCAGTCACTAGATGGCACTGCACTATCAACAAAGTCTAACCACCACCCAGTCCAGGGAAATAATAACAAACACATTTATCAATGCCAGTGAGGCAAAAATTAAATTATCCTGTTTATAAAAGAAGCATTAATTTACCCTGACTTTGAAATAAGTGGAAATACAGATCCTTGTGCTTCAGACTGTCTTTCTGTCATCATTCCTACATAACATTTTAGCTGCCTGGTCTTGACAACACGTCTAACATCTCATGTTTGATTAAATACACAAAACCAAGACAAAATGCATGTGAGGAAATACAAAGAAAAGACAAAAAAGCGGGGCATGCAAGTATACATAGCAGAAAAAGTTTTACAACCATCCTTCTTTAAGTGCTGCAATGGCATGGTGTSAGTATTTTGAAGACAATTTGAATTTTTTTCTGTAACATTTAAACCCTAATTCTCACTACAATTTTTAGGAAGCCAAGCATGACTAATTCTTAGATTTTTACAGTTCATCAAGACTTATCAGCCAGAAAATCTACACAACACCTGCATACCTGACTCCCTCATCTTCTTTGTCCACTGAAAGAACAGAGTCAAGGTCATCAGAAACACTGACTAAGCTGCACAGCAAAGCCCATTTTTGCTTACACTTAATCCCACAACAGTGTCCTGTCTTCCCTACAAAGCATTTTGAATCCCGTGTTTAGTTCCTTATGTATTTAATAGTTAGTTATTGTTTTGGGGTTTCAAAGATTTCCTTAATCAAATGTGTAGTTTATTGAGAGTGTACATGCACTCCTAAAGCACTGAGAAATGCAAGTGATTCCTGAATCTGCTTCTTGAGTATATTAAAACACTTCCATGTTCACAACAGAACTAAGTATTTGATTAACTCATAGCCCATGCCTTCAGTAATTTCCCTAAACTGAGTGGGTTTGGAGTCACAAAGAATATTTACTTCTTAACCAAGGAAACACAGAAATATCACAAATATTTGTATGTACAACTTCTAAGATACCTCATAAGGTGAATTTACAAATTAAATTAAAACGACTCTTTTAAAAAGAAAGCAACTGAAAATAGCTGACTTCTAAAAAACCACCATATTGAGAGTGCCTTAGGTAAGTCTAAAAGCAAATATTCAAACTGCATACTGACTGATGGATCACAGAGATTGCTCAGTTCTAGACTCCAAATTAGTCCAAGCATCTGAAGATGACATGATCCCATCAAGGCTGTAGGTGAGTTACTGCCAAAAATTCATGTTTTTTTCTTAAAACAGGTTCACACTTCAAAGTAACCAACCACATTTTAAATCTCTTTTTTTTCTGAWCTAATTTTCATCAAACTTGTAAACTATGAAAGGGGAAAAAAAAATCAATACATGCACTAAGCTTCCTACACAGTAGCATGTAAGATGACGTAACAGAGTTTTGCATCTTCCATCTTTTCCTCTTTTAACCAAGTATTCAGCCTTTATGGTTGTTCAAGCCACTCCCACAATGAATAGAATTGTGCATGCCACAACATGCAGTCTGAGTTAAAGTCAGTATTTCCAATCAAGATGCGCACCACTTTCGGTTTTCAGGGCGTCAGCAGAAATTTCAAGACAGCACTATAGTGCAGAGCAGCACAGTACCACAAGGTCTTTAACTCAAGATGCCTTCCCAGATTCAGAAAAGTATGATCTTTGAGAGCTAAGACAGTTTCAGYATTATTCCCCATTAGCTCACGGTCTGAAGAGCAATGTCCTGCCACCACTCCCTTGCAAAGGTACCTCCTGAGTGACTCTACCACACATCTGTTTGGTGTGATACCAGCACTACCTTGGGCACACAAATTATCAAAAATACAAAATTATTCAAGGACTTGCATGGAAACAGGGGACACCCCACACAAATGGGAGCTGGGCTTTTGGCCATTGGAAGGGAAGGTACCTGCCAGGAAGAAGTTATTTTGAGCCCATATCAAATGGCCATGCCAAAAGGAGATGCTACATGTGGAGGATTTTGGGAATTGGACTGGGGAGGATAAAAAGAACAATGAGTTGAGACACCCTTCCCACCAACACTCTTCAACATGATGTCCTCCTTGAAATCTGATATGCAATCCTCTGACATGAGGAAAATGGCAGTGAAGTGCAGTTTCTAAAGCTCAGGGTCTTTAAACATAACATGCTGAAATTCAGACTCTGTTGAAGCTTTTATTACATGAAAATAACAGAAAAAAAAGAAAATAAGCATTCTTGCATAGGACAATTTAAGGATTGAAATATTACAGCTACATACTKGGTTTCACTATGGATTTATCAAGAGCAGAAGTTCATTTTAATATAGTCAAATTCAATATAGTAGATGACACCCTGATCCGTCAGCTCAGTTTCAGCTGGCTGTAGAGAACTCTATCTCATCACCTGAAGAAATTACACCAAAAGACATTTATAAGGTCTAACACTACAAAGAAACAATACGGAAGTGTAAGATTGAGTATTTTCATATTGCTGGCCATCTCCCACTTCACAGAAACAATTACACAAAACAAAGCATTTTGGAAGCTATCCAAAGACTCAGTTTTGCTTCCAAAGGGCCAAAATAACCTAAGAGCACATAAAACGWGTATTTGACAGGAGTCTGTACATTGTAACTCATACTGCAGTAAGCCAAGAAGAATAGAAAGGATAAACCCTCTAACAGCATCGACATGATAGCTCTGGATGCCTGGGAAGTATGAGGGAAAAGGGACTGCAGAAGATGTCCAGGCATGCAAGCTCCGTTCCTGTGCTAATCTCAAAGAACAGGCAGCAGCACCATCTACCAGAACTAAAGAGGTTTTATAGCCCCCATTCTGAGCTCACTTCAAGCAAAAGCCTTTGCAGCAGGTGAAGAGGCTTTCTGCTCTCAATGGAACTGCCTTCCAATCCTGCCAGGCAGAGCGCTCAAGTCCAAGGAAACCAACAGAGAACATTAGATCCTGCTTCCATGGAACACAAAGCTGGTTATGAAGACGCGTAACATGTTACACRTTCAAAACCTACAAAGTGGTTAATTCAATCCACTGAAATAAAAAGACACTGCAATCATTCAGTAAGAAGAATTAGACCTGATTCAAATAAATAACTAATAGCAAGACCTATTCAAAAYTGTTAATACTTATTTGAAAACCCTCCTGGAAACCTGAACACCATGAAAGCTCAAGTTGTGCGGCACACCAGGTACAGATCAGGCACTGCTGTCCACAGGATTAAAGCAAGTATCTAGAGGACTGAGGTCAGCTGAAATTCTACCAGAGATATTTCAAATAATTTTACTTAAGCTACTTCTACTCAGCACTGTTTTAACCATCCACAGTCTCAYCCATGCTCTGTTGGTATTTACTCCATACTTAGTAGCGATATGGATATGTGCTGATGTTGCATGGCACGCAAACACAACACTATAACCAGGGTTTGGTTGGTTTCTCCTTTTTTTATCACTCAAATTCACATGACAGCATCTTGCAAGGAATACAATAGCTGTACTTTTACAGGCAGTTTCCAACAGACACACATGCATTTACACACCTTGAGGATCTGGCTATCTCATGCTCTGCCCGCTGTCTTATTACTGCACTCGGGCAGCAACCATACGCTTCTCTGAAAAGAAATGTTAATGACCTCAGGAGCACTGGGATAGCAGGKGGCAGGTTTTTCAGCTAAAAAATGAAAACAGTGAAAAACTAAAATTATGAAAACAAGTATATTTAAGTGCCCCGTATCTAAAGTACAAAAGGACTTAAGCTAGCCTTAGAATATATGCAGGCTGCTTAGAGAGGGATTTTTAATCACTACACAACTCACCACCCGTCTCTGCTCTTAATATTCAATGCATGGATAGTTAACTTATTTAAAAGCCTCCCTCCCCCAACATTAAATAATATCTTCATAACAAAGGCACTTTGAAAGACAGAAAACACATAGCAAACACCAACCTATGAAGAACATACTGCTCTGCATTTGTTTCTTCCAATCCATTTTTCCATACCCTCTGATAAAGAATCTGCCTGCTTATGTCACAGGTATTGATGAATTTGTACAGAAGCACTGTAAAATTTAGGAGATAACAGCTTTCACAAAACTACATTTGCTCCCCTCACACCTGTGAACCTTACAAAAAGAACAGAGTATTATTAGAGAATTGTTTAAAAACTACATAGAAAAGATTCATCAGAATAATCTTACCACAGACTTCTACACGTAGATTCAGAGATCATATAGAAACATGGATGGAATTTCAGTGGCAGTCTCCTCCAGTTATAAAGGAACCAATTTGTTCTCAATTTTTTTTTTCTGTATTTTCAAGCTATTCATTTTCTGCGTGAACAGAATCAGATACAATCCTCTGAAGAAAATTATTCCCACACTGTACTATGGACTCTTAACAGCTCACCTACTCTGAAAGGATTATACTAACCTCAATAGCATTAAATCCAGCTATGTACCATCATGTATTTATTCTAAAGCTCGAATGAATTCTGTGTTCGATAATTACTTCATCAAATAGTCATATCAAGTACGTCAGCCCACATGTCCTTATGAAAATTAAGGACATGACA